CCCACCTCCGGAAAGACATCCCTAACCCCCACCCCCGCCCCAATCTTGCATACAAACTGTTCCCAGTGTCAGTTTCACAGGGGTTCTCCAGTGATGGGAGCCTGATTTAAGTAAATCAGGATGGCAGGAGGGACGGGTAGATCAGGGGGCCAAGGAGCTAAAAATATCTACCAACTGGAGGAAGGGGAGGGGAGCCCCACCAATCCTGCCAACCCCACCATTCCCTGACCAACAATCCTCCTTGTGGACCAACCCCTGTCCCCCAATCTCTCCTCCCCCCTACCCCAACTTACTTTGATTGGGCACCAGTAAACACTGGTAAGATCAGCACCGTGGGAGGCAGGGGCTAGGGGGGAGGAATCAGCCCCAGGGCTGTCCTCTGAAGTATACAGACTTTCAGTTAGATTGGTCTAACCATGCCCAGTCTAACAGTGCTCCTCTCAGGGGAACTAAGTTAGACTGGGCTGGCCATTTTTCGACTATTAGATCTAAGCGTAAAGTACATACATAGGTGAACCGAGTTAGATCAGGTGCACCTTTTTTACGTGATCTAACTTCACAAAAGTCTATGTACACCTTTATCGTGTCTCAGAGCATATCTGATCAATAGCAATTAACAATACATTATTCCCAATTAAAGAATGGCTGATAAATATACCTTAAATTCAAATATGACCCATCAGTCTCTTTAAATGTTGTTGCAGTGTCCAGTGGAATATGCTAAATAGCTTTTACAGGCTCAGGTAATTCAGTGAACAGGTTCAGCAAACATACAGCTGGGAAGAGCTGTAATGTGTCCAGCATTTTGCATTTTTTCTCAGGGAATGTCCAACAAGTCATACAGCTAAAAATCTAAAAAGACCTTTAGCTCAGTGGAAGCTGACAATGAAACATTATCTACCTTGCTTGAAATGAGGTTGATTCCTGCATAAAATCTTCCCAGAGAGTGCTCACTTCCACTATTCTCTCTCCATTAGAACAGAAGGCAAGGTAGATTCACACCTTACACACCAGTAGTCTCCAACCTTTTTAAGTAGGAGATCTCCTTTGGCATTTAAAAGCAACCCAAGATCTACCGTGCGCCACTGCTGCCCACCCCCCGCCTTGCCCAGCAGGTAAGTCTGTGGGGAGGGAAGGGGCCGGAGAGGGGCAGATCAAAACAGAGGGAGAAAAAATTATTTGGGGGCACGGCCTCCCCAGCAGGTAAGTCCCACCCAGCCAGGGCCCGACAATTTACACCTGCTCTTGCTTCTGCGGTACTGTCCCTCACCACAGGGGCCTCGGTCTAGTCCCCACCCCTTCCCTCCCCCATGGACTGACCTGCTGGGCTGGGCTGGGCGCATGTGTGCAAACACACGGGCACTGAGCCCCCTCACCTCAGCCTCTGATTGACTCCAAGAGGCTCCAAGATCTCCTGGTGAATCGTGATTCACTAGTTGGTGACCACTAGTATAGACTAACCGAATCTGAGAAACAGCACTAACTTGCATGAGTATGAGTTACACTAAGGCCAATAGGCTTTGTTTTCTTAGGGACCTAGCTCAGGAGATTACAGGTGAGACGTATTGTCTAGAACACAGGGAATATCTCACTAGGAATTTCTCCCATCAAGTCTAATAGCTGATTTTACAGTTCTTTAAAAGGATTCCTGCAAACATTCATCAAGGTAAGAGGTTCTGCTGCAAGCCTTTTGGCAAGGAGAAAGAATAGTCCTCTTCCAAGCTCAGGCAGATGACTCTGCGCACTGCCTCTGTCATTAAACCACATCAAATAGATTCGGTCCTTCATCCTGATACTAGAGCAAGTGAAAAATATTTCAATAAGGCCGTACCATCAACACCTCAGGCAATGGTGCTTGCTAGGTATAAGTTGGGCCTTTGGTTGTTTTGGTATATGATGCAAGCTTGGACAGGAATGAAGGATTTGGCATCACATTACTGTTGGTAGCAGTACAGTCCAGAAGTCTGGAAACAACAGCCAGTGCTTGTGTAGATTTTGATGCAGAAACTTGAATGTGAGATATTTCTTTCCCAGTTCTTGGTGCAGATGCAGACTGTTTCATGAAGCAGTGCTCTTTGAGGCAATTTTGAAACAACAGTGAGTGGCTGCTGCTCAGTGGTCTCACTGTGACTAACTACATGAAAGGGGTCTAGAATGGAGAAGTTTTCAAGGGCCTGCCACAGTTGAAGACTGCGTTTAACAGCTGTTCTAGAAGGAAGACCTTCTCCCCCATCTTCCAAATCCTTCTTGAGAAAGTTTTATAGATGGATTGGTACACTGCTATGTGACCTCTTCCCAGGCATAGGAATGTGGTGACTGTCTTTTATGAACTGTCATGACTTAGTCACAAAGTGGGGGGGACTACTGAAGTACTGTCCCTTGTGTTCTGTCATCAGGAAAAGAAATCCTATTGCTGTACTTATTTATGAGAAGGTACCAAATGGCAAATAAAACCTGTAACAATACTAACTATAAAAAGCTCCAAAACAGGGGTGGGCAAAATGCAGCCATTCTATCTGGTCCACGGGGCCCCTAAAAATTTTAGAAAATTATTATTATCTGCTCCTGGCTGCCTGTCATTCGGTCCTTGATGGCGTGCCAAAACTCAGTAAGCGGCCCTCCACTTGAAATAATTGCCCACCCCTGCTCTAAAACCTAACAACCTAATTGCCCTCTTATTAGAGAAAGGAATGCAAGCATCTCAAAGCCAAAAGGGCAGGTAACAACTGCCTTCAAAAGTGGAAGCAGGGAGAGGTGTGGCCCTAGGAGCCACTGGGTACCTGTAGACGTACAGGGAGGCTGCTCTGACATGCTGCAATTACAGCATGTCAGAGCAGGCTTGATTAATCAAGTCTGCTGGAGCATGCTAATTAGTGTGCTCCAGCAGCCTCTGCATCACTGGCAGCAGGGGCACTTTAACTAAAGCTCATCCAATGAGCATTTTTAATTAAAGTCCCCTCTGCCATTTAGAAGCACAGGAACGCTGATACGCAAGATGCTGCAGACACGCTAAAGCAGCTCTCAGAGCCACCCTAATTAAAGCACCCCCGCCAACCCCCAGAACGCATGTAAAACAAGCTCACATACGCAAAAGAATACTTCAGTACTTAATTACAACACAACTGGCAACCCATCATTATCACAAGTCAATTTTTACAATACCCATTTCGAAAATGCATTTTATGTGGTACCTTAATAGTTTTATTGTGATAGGTACTTTTGACTTAGGAGATGTGACTCAATTAGCAAGCACGCTGCTACAGGTGTACAGTTTTATTGTTACAATTTGATATTACCAGCTAAATGTCCCATAAGTATGAATGCAATGACAAGAACTACCTTTTTTGTAAAGGCGTTTTTTGTAAAAATGCTATGGGAATGAAAGTAGTTGCTTTTCCTCAAATAAGGCACAGTAGGGGGAGGGTGGCAGGAGAAACCAGTAAAAAAAAAAACACCATTGTTTTTGCCACACCACTCCTCAGCAGAAGTCTGCTGGAAACTACAAAAATACACTAACTTGATTATGGACAATTTCTGAAAGGTATTTGACTTAAAAGACTAAATCCCATTTTCAGAAGTAACTTGGGTTCCTAAATCAATCTGATACTTCTGAAAAATTCTCTTTCCCACCCTAGTCTCTTATCCAACATAAAACGAAAAATATTTTTTTCAGAGTAGAAGGAATACAGATGTTGTCTTTAACCTCAAGCTGCACATATGATTGTCTTTAGCTCCAATCAAGCAGCACATACAATTGTGTTCCTGGTATGGTAAAAGCTCTATCATCCGGCATCCCCTGGGAATGGGGGGTGCCGGATAACAAAATATGCCGGTTAATTGAATGGCCCCGGTCACCACTTCTCCCACCGCATCTGGGGCATCCCTCCACCCCTCCTGGGGGTCCTGCAGGACAGGGAGGCAGGTCCTGTACAGCGTGTTATGCCCCCGGGCCGTGGGGGCTTGGCAGCACAAGCTGCTTTGCCTTGGGGGCTCGGAGAAACCGGAAGTGCCACAGTGGGAACTTCCAGTTTCACTTTATCTTAAAAGCTGGCATTCCGGTTAATAGAGCATGATGGCTTGTAAGATGCCGGTTAACAGAACTTTTACTGTAATTATATTTCAGTATTGACACAGATATGGCTTGTAGAACAACGAGCTTTTATAACTTAAAACAATTTTCTCAGGCAGTTCTGCACCATTACATCTAACAGACACTGATCACCTTCAGAGTGGTTCTGCCAGATGGTATTCACTTGATTAAAAACCAAAAAAAAGAAAACTATATTACCTTGGCGAAGCAGCTGGGCTCTATGCACAGGAGGAAGCGAGGTGGTCAGAAACGTGTGAAGCCGAACAGCTAAAAGGAATTTTAAACCACATTCATCAAGTGTTTCTCCACCTGAAAATAGAAAAGATTTTTTTTTTTTTTTTTTTTTTTACTGGAAAACACATGAAAACTGTGAAAAAAATAAAGAATTTTTATACTCCTCTTGAATCAGCCTCCATGCATATCATCGCATTTTAAACTCATGAATGCATTCAACTGTTAGTGAAGGGTTAAGAGCCCCATAGTATAAAAGAAAGAAAAGGCAACCCTGAGGATGATGTGGTCACAAAAACAAGTTAGCTAGCTACAAATTTACCAGTTAAAAAGACTTTTTGACCCTAGCCTTTCAGTAAGCAATTAAAAACAAAAAACAACAATCACCCTTCTTTCTGTTCAAATGGGTATGGGAGTGGGGGGAAGAGGGGCAGAGATGGAAGAGCAGAAGAGCCACACAAATCAAAACCACCTTGGTTGAAAAATGAGAGTTCATTCTTAGGACAGTGAGAGTTAACTCCTCAGTGAGAACCACTTTTGATTATTTCCTCAGCCAAAATCATCCACTTACAAAAGCTTTAGGGGCCCTAAAAATTAGATGTACAATCAAACTAAAAACCATAAAACAGCCTAAAAGCTCCTAAATAGCTCAGACAGTCATTAAATTAAAACTGCAAAAATAATTTGGTGCTCCAGAAACATATCCTAAAACTTTCCAACAAGAGCATGTAAACTGCTTTAGCAGCAGGTCTAGAAAGTCATGTTTGCAAAGACTTCAAACCCAAGGCAGGGCAAGATTCATTGGCCCCTCACAGAACCCATCTATAGGTCATGATATTACTGGGCAATTAAAATAATTCCCAATTTCATGAACTGCTAATTTCAAAAATAAGATTTTATTAAGACAGCTGATATTGAAAAAAGTTTAAATAATAGATAGCAAAATCTGTTTCCCAGTTCATAAAAGTTGAACAGAATATATTTAATACATTAGGAAGATACTGCAAAAATAATAAAACAAAAAAAAATATTAAGAAGCTTGTGAAATCCAAAAATATTTTTGCCCATTTTGTAGAAACAGAGCTTACCCTGATTTCTGTCTCTGCTTTCTCCTATATCAGTACTAGTAGTGGCAATTGTATCTGCTAATGCCATCAGTGACATCTGTTCCATCCTAGTGAGACCTGGTAAACTTGAATGAAGCAAGTGGCGAGAAAGAACCTGGGCATGTTCCAGTCCAAAGTATGTTGGGCCATATTGAGAAAGATCAATGACCTTTGGTTTTGTATTATCTTCATCTGCCTCAAACATGGTGAGATCATCTGTACTTAAACTGGAGCTCTGAAAAAGATCTTCATAATTTTCATCTGGTACATCATTTTGTTTACTTAAGTTATTTTTATGATTGGACTTTTCTGAACAGGAATGGGAACAGTCATCATCTGCAGCAAGCAGTGCATACAAAGGGAGTGGTGGAACAGAATCTATTTCTGTGTAATCCGTATTTTCTGTTTTGTTGAATGTCTTGGGATCTCTAGCAGTGCTTCCACTAGCACTGATTGTGAGAGATCTAAGTCGCCGATCATGATTAGATTCAGATTCATTTACAGCAACAACTTCCCCAGCAATGCATTTAACCAAATGGGATAGGATAGCCTTTGCTCTCCGCACTTTACCAAGATCCATGAGCTCCAAAAGCTGAAAAGGGTGGTATTGAGGTAAAGTGGGACATAATGCATGTGCTGCTTCAAAAAGTCCAGAATCTTCCATATCCACAGGGATATCAAATATTGTTCTCTTTCCACTAAGCTTCTGTGCAAGGCTGGTCATGGATCTGGTTAAGGTTCGCTTTGGTGGATGAAGGCCAGAACCAGCTGACTGGCTTTGTTTCATTAAGCTAGTTATAGATGGTGTGCTTCCACGGTAAGAGTCTGTAGCAACTGTCTCTTGTTTTGAAGGAGGCTGCCACTGAGAATAAACGTGCATTTCACAATCCATCCCAACTACAAGAATGCCATCACGAACCCAAGACAAAGAAACTGGACAAGGAGGTGATCCTTCTACTGAAGAAATTAAGTCCACACATCGTAGCAACACAAACCTAGAAAGGGGTGTAACTTTTGCCGTTTCCCATAGTGGCAAAGCAACACTCTCCACACCATTTTGTTCTTGCCCCTTTCCAGCCAGCTGACCAAACATATAAAGCTTTGATCCAATGCCTACTGTTAGGATATGTGAACCATCTTCTCTAGACATCCAGTCTAAGTGAACCAAGTGCTTTGTGCTTGATGGAGTTTTCCCATTACCAGATAAACAAACTTCCTGTTTATTATACTCCATTAAATTGCTGTCAATACTTATAGCAGAATCTAATGTTGTGCCTATTTCATCTAAATGAAGAGTGTGTTCCAGAATCCAACATGAACCTCCTGTAGATTCACATTCAAAAATACTAACATTAATCATGAAGTCTTGAGAAAAGCGACTATTTTTAGGGACTACCTGCTTGTATGCAACAGCTAATCTATTTGTGTGTGCACAGCTAACTTCAATTGGTTTTCCTGGAACATTAACAGCACTACTACTAAGAAATCCATCCTCGATAAGTAATGGCCATTCTTCCCACATATATATAACGTCACTATATTCTGGCATGGAAGAAGCTACTGACTCTGTCACTCTACATCTCCAGAACCTAACTTTGCCATCAGAGCATAAAGTTGCTAGTAGATAAGGTGCACGACAAACCGGATACATGGAAGATGAACTCAAGTGTCCTAAAATAAAATAAATAAATAAAAAGAGGTTCAATAAGCAATCATACAATTATGCATCAAGTTATGTATAAATATTGATATAGCCCTCTTTTACCAGAGGTTTTTCCAAATGCCACCAGAGAAATTCTTTCAGAAATGCTGTAGCTTCCACTGAATCTCTGAATATGTTTGGAGCTCCCAGACTGGTGTCTTATGAAAATACACAGAGGCAGACAGCTATGAGACCTACACTATTCACACTGAAATTCATACACTAAGCTAGCTCAGAACAAATGCTTTGCTATTAGCAGCCTAAATCTCTTGAATGCAATTCATGGGCAATAAATGCATATTAATAGTATTTACATATTATTTTTGCATTTATATTTCTACTTGATTCATTATTAGTAACACAGCCAATGCTATAATGTGTTTCACACTGAAAAACATAAAACCTTGTTCTAAAACTGTGATTCTCTACGATGGTACTATAGGGTGCCACAGAGTATTAGCACTATTAGGTGTGCAGACACCTACACAATTCACAAGATAAACCCAGAGATTTTAAATAGGAATCAAGTGTCAAAAACCTTATGACCTGTTGTGGTCTTTCTGAGTTCTTTGGAATGGAAAAATTGTTCTAGTACTTTTATGTAGTCAAAAACAAGTAAAAACTAAGAGCTGACATTTTCTGAGAGATGCCTTAAAACTAACCAAGGGAACCCTGAGTCTAACAAGGGGTGCCTTGAGTCTAAAAAAGTTGAGAACTACTAAAGAAACATTTATCATTTAATAGCTTCTGTAAGGGTTCTGTTGCATGAATATAACAGAATTTTTAAAAAGTGACTACATAATTTAATATACCTTCCAAATCTGATTTTATGTACACTTGCTTAGGCAAACTACTGCACTATTGATTTATCTCTATTTAAATGTCTAATAACAATCCCAGAAACAGACTAGTTTTGCCTCTTATTTTAGTTTACACACCTGCTGATGGCTTAACACTTATTATCTCCACTTCTTCTGGTAAACTCAACTCTTGACTATAAACCATTTTTGAAGAGAGAGTAAGGCGACTGGTGCTTTGAAGGTTTGCTTTACAGGCCTGATATTTTTGTGTGAAGGGAGACTGGACCTTTTCTGGATCTGTAGGTGAGGAATGCAGCTCTTCTTGATGCTTTGTTGTTTCAGGCTCTCTTTTGGAGGCTCTCTTCTCAACTAAAGAAATATGCATTAATTAAAAACTAAGTCTTTATCTTTAATGATAAACAACTTTTGACAAAACCTAAGCACACCTCAAATCAAAGGTATTTGTAAAATTCACACATATATGTATGTAGACAAGACTTGCCTAGTATGGTTTAGTCGAGGATGATCCTATCTTGAGCAGGGGGTTGGACTAAGTTACCTCCTAAGATCCCTTCCAACCCTATTTTTCTATGCTTAAGTATCCAAGAGTGTGAATACACACACATATGTTGGCACTCTCATAAGTTAACACTTCAATACATGAATCAAAATGGAGAGAAAGTTTAGGATAACTTTATTTTTTTTTAATTAAAATACAATAGTAATGATGCCTGAAAAAGTGTTGTGCCTGTATTATATCCCTTCTGCAAAAATTAAGGCTAAGAGTTTCACAGGAAGGAATCACTGGATAAAGATCTACTGAATTTATTCTCCTGATTCCCGCTTAGCAGAGTGAAGCACCCCCTTAAATGAAGGACTTAGCAACAGGACACGTGACAACAAGTGAGAAAGAAATATATTGAAAACTCTTTTGCCATGCAACACTGCTATGGTTTGAATGTTGTTGGGTTTTTTTTCTATTACGTTTCCCAGTACACACAGTACTGATTGGGATATCAAACTGCATTATCAGCACGCACCCAGCAGAAGGAATCTTGCCTCTACCTACCACCAGTATTACTGACTTAGTCTGACTGCACAGATGGAAGTGTTCAACACTACTCCCAGTTTAATAGGAGGCAGACACACCTTCTTTCAAGCTTCACCCATTCTGAAGTATTAAAAGGCACACTCTAAAGTACACAGGTACTTACTTAAAGTTTTCATATTGTCATACTGTTTTTCTTCAAACCAGAAGAGACTACTGTTATTAATTAGAGGGTAAGCTTAAACAGCTTTTGCTCTGCAAATTTTGTAAAACTGAAAAGCAAAAAACCAAATCAACTTGATTTCCATCTGTTACCATTAATTTAAAAATAGGTGCATGGATTTTCTTCTTCTTTAGAAACCACTCAAAAATATAGTTTGGGCTAGACTAAGCCTAAAGAACTCCAGAACAGAAAATAACTGTAACATCAACACACAAACTGGACGTAATTAATGCTGTTCTTGGATCTGTAACATATTTCCCTTAATATCAATCAAGATACTTTAAAAATAAAAATGCAACTCAAAAATAGAATGGATTACACATATACTTGCAAACAATCAACATTTTTAAACTCAATTTTATGTTAAAACATAAAAGAACCTACCGACTGACACTGGAATGGACTTCAAGTGTAAATTCCACATGTGTAATAATGAGCAGTTTTGAGTATATTCAATTACTATTAAGTAAAATTTTTCTGAGAATCCATTTTGCAAGTTTCCTGTTAGAAATTAAAATGTCAAGATTTTAATACAATGGCTTGCTGCCCGCAGCGAACCTTTCTCCAACAAGCCTATTATCCCAATGGTCCTGAAGACATTCCATGCTGAGGACACCCAATTACACTTTAGCTCCTGAACGGAAACACTAGGTGCAGCATCAAGCAATTAAGCCTTGCTTCTCAGCAGAGCCAACAGCATCACGCTTAAAAAGCTCCTGTTACTCCTCATATGGGAAGTAACATGTACATAAGTAGTGTGATTCCCAGCACAATGCTGCCTGGCACTTAAATGAACCTCCAGTCCCCTGCATCTGCCTCTGTGGTCTACCTGAAATACCTTCATGGTTCATTAACTGAAAATAACTGTACTAGGGGATCAAAAACAAAAAAAAAACCAAACAAAAAGCTTGTGGGCCTATTTATTTGCTTTGTAAAAAGTTTAACATTGAGAGTTAGTAGTAGTAGGCAGCTGTCAACCCTCTGGATCATAGTGTTCACATAAAAGGACATGCTTATCTGGAGTCCTGCAACCATCACACCAAGACCTTTGATGTATATACCTAGGCAAAAGTATGGAGGAGTGGAGCTGTCTAAGACCTACCATCCCTCCTCTTCAGACCACTGAAATCCAGGGTGGATAAAAATAAACAATTAAAAAAAAAAAATAATCGATTTAAAAAAATGTAAGATGCTTTTTAAAAAACTTATAGAAAGATAGTTTTAATTTAAAGTATATTAAACCTCAAAGATCTCATCATGGAATAGGCATTATAATTTCTAATTATATACTGTTTGAGACAATACATTCATGTAACATTTTAGAAAAATTTTATAAATAGGTCACAATTGGCCATAGACTATATTAGAGGCCCAAGCTGATTGGGTTCCCAGAGGCTCCTCTATAGATTAGCAAGGATTAAAGAAAACCACTCTACCCAGTGGGACTCAGTGCTCAGTCTACACAATCCCATTAAGCATCTCTGTGATGTTTATTTTCAGTTCTCAACCTGTGGATTTGTCTCTCCAGAGATAACATCCTTGTTAACAGCACTATACTGAGATGAGAGATAACAGACCCGACTACCTACCCATCAGCCCTATTGTCTCTTTGCAAGTTTGTGTACACCCAGTGAAGCCCTTACCTCTCCCTAAAAATGCAAAGTTTCAAGAAGTTAAATGAATAAAGGATATCAAACAAGAATGTACTTTTTGTTGAAAACAATGAATAAATCAAGGCTTCCTGACCAGCGATTAAATCGTGGTTTAAATCAGTTCTGATTTAAATCAAATCCACCCTGATAGAATTAATAGACCAGATCAAGTCCAGACACCAGCACCTCAATGGTTGTCGTTTCTGCCAGAGAGAAACAGGTAAGTACTGCTGCTGACTGTCTAGCACCTCAGCAAGAGCATGTTTCTGTCAGGGTGATGTCCCTTAGCTTTTTTCCAACCAAGTACCCACAAGGCAGTGGGGGCTACAGTTTAAGGCACCTTATATTCACATTAGTTTGGAGGCTGCAATACTGTGGTATGTTATAGGAGCTACGCCGCCACAAGTAGCCCCCACCACGTTGCTACCAGGCCCTCAATCAGATGCAGTTTATGATCATACCCAGGACAAGAATTATGGAAGAATTATGTATGTTTAATTAAAGAAAAAACATGTACCTTGGATAAAATCTGCTATATTTAACAAGTTACTGGCAGGTTATGAACTACAGAAGTGGTTCACACTTATTTTATAATTTCTTTTGTTGTTACTAAAGCCAGTTCTGTGGATTTAGAAATACCTTCACATGGAACCTCTTCGCATGGAACCCTACACATGGAACCTCTTCGACCTGTCACTATAGAAGCATACAGTAAAAAAAAATGTATTTAATCATTTAATACCATACAGGAAGTCTCTGGCTTACTGTACAGCTCCAAGGAACGGTTATGTAATTTGAAGGGAGTGACATTTTTCCATAACATCTTCTGCCAACTTTTGAAAATAGTGACTAAATACCTATGTGGACTTTTAGATGACCATAGTGAACCATGATGTTAAAATTTCCCCCTCAGATCCTATGGCATGGGTCTTACCTTATAAAACAAATTATTTCAGCGAGTACCTCTCTCTGCACTAATGCCATCAGTAGTTCAGTACATTTCTTAATGCATCTGATGGGTATTGGACACAATACTGTTCTGTCTCAGCACGTGGGAAATGTTACTTTATCAAGGAAAAGGAAAATAATTTGTTTACCTGTTATTTCATCTCAATATGTCAATCTTATAGTCTAGTAAAATATATGTATAATTTTTGCCACAAAAAAGATGTGCAACAAGCCCCAATTCTCATACAAGTTAGTATATTCGATTCCTTCTTCACCATTTACTGTATTAGATATGTAATGCTGATTTACCAGACGCTGATAAATCATTCTTCTTTCCAGGCATTTTCTCCTCCCGGTTATTCAAAATGAAGTCTTCGTGAAAAACGTGAAGAAGCTGTGTTTTTCTGCCACGCTAAATAAAAGATAAATTAAAGAGTTGAATGCTGTAAAATATGATTGAGATAAGATTCAAATCTCTCATCACAGGAGTTATTCCTACACTACATTTAAAAAAGTTTTCAGACATAGCAACATTTTCTAATATATATAATATCCGAGTTCTTTCTGATTGTCAGCAAAGACTAGGTCAAGAAATATAAGCATTTGTATCAGAATGAAATATAAGCATTTGTATCAGGATTAATCTTTGATGATTTCATCAACAGGTGAAGAAAATTGCACATGTGATGCACAGTGAATACAGAAAAGTCTCTCTTACAAGTTCTGTAATGGCATCCAACTCTACGATGCATCCTGGCCTAGCAGTAGATTGTTGACTTATGATGTTAAAAACTTCACCAACATATTTCTGTAAAAAAAGTAGTAATACAAGTAATATTGAAGTCAACAGTAAAATTTACAAAAATTACAAATATTTAACCAGTTTACATTTTGGCATAACAGTTTTATTGCTTACATTTAATTTATTCATAGCCAGGGTTAATAATTTAGTTTATTAAATCAAAGCTGAATGTATGTTCTATGGAAACCCTGATATAAACTGGGTACACTTATTTATTTATTTTAAATATTCCCTCAGTAGGATATGGATCACAAAAAGATGCAAATTGGCTGCCTATTTTTCTGATGGTAATAAGGCACTTAGCACCTTGACTTGAAAATTGTATTACAATGCACAGACACAAGTTAAGAGCAGCCACAAACTCAGTACTGAAAATTATGTAAATTGCAATTTGGTGAGGCCACAAGGGTTAATACTCCCACTTTTGCCAATCATCAGAACATATTTATTATACAAAAATGGTCAAAACCTGTAAGTCTAATCTGATGTTTGTTCCAGGTAGTAATGTTATTGCAAAAGGAGCATCTTATTGATTTCCCACCTAAAGCAGCACAGTTTACAGGTCTACTCCAAATAAATAATTTTTACACTCACAGAAATTTCAGGATTGGAGAGCTCACACAGAAGTTTCTTAGCATCTATTATAGCTTGATATAATCTTAAATGCTGCCCATCACTTGCCACAAAGCAAGCACTAGGAGAATTGCAGTAGGCCCCTGAAAAACATTTGAATTAGCAATCAACACAAAATTTAGCTGAATGAACATCAGCCCTCCCACTTTCTAGTGAAAAGAAACAAGATTATTTAATACCAAAGCAGAACAAAACATTATTTCAGGTGATTTTACGTGTATGCACATGAAAGAACCAGACAGTTTTGACACCAAACTTAGTTTTACTAAAAATATAGAGAACAAAAGAAAACATGATTCTCCTACACACTGCCCTCCTTGTTCATATTAATGTTTTAAACTCCACCCTCTTCTCTGACCAAGAACTATACTATATGCATATTTTATACAATTTAGCTTGTACATTTGTAAACAAAGAGAAGTGACCTTGTCCTTACCAGCCAATATAACGCTAAAAGTATATATGGCACCATAAAAAGGGGGAAGGAGAATATAGTATTTTTTTTCAAAAATACCAAAATAAATATTATACAAATATCTAGTGACTTACACATATTTGTATGGTATTCAAACTTACTTTTGAGAAAACCAACACACTAGAAACCATCAGATAAATATCCAGTTAATACATTCAACATCCTAAATTCTTCATATTAGTTTCTTTTTTGTCCATACTACTTCTAACTCCAACAACTTTAACACGCTACAAAAAGTAAGATGGAAAACTCACCTAAACAGTTACTAGGTATGAGGGTAGGCAGCCATGCCACATTCGAAAACGCCGAAACACGAAGAGAGTTTATTCGTGCAAGTTCAGAAACTCCACCAGAAAAGGATAAAGGCCCAACTGGATCAACCCTCCAAAGAATAAGCTCACTGTAAATGGCATTGGGATCCTGCGATGTTACACTTGCAGTTCCTGTATTTTGAGGTCTTAAATGAGACTCGCCAGAATTTAAAGAGTCATTTGTCTGTTTGGTGCTATCAACATCTGGTGTCCTTAAAGCATTATGATGTGAGGTTGTAAGCAGCAATGGTAGTACTGAATGACAAGCCAAGTCATTTAGATGAAAACGGTGACCACAATATCGGGATTTATGCGAAATACTCAGCACAGTTGAAAAAGCAGATTCCTCTGCAAAACTAACTAGCCATTGGTTCAAAGAACCATCTGCGTGTTTGGAAATCATCATAACATTAGGAGTGAAGATACTTAATTTTAAACTGTTGGTCGATTTACTGTGGCCAGAAGAGATGAGCATAGATGAGGAGCGTGTAAGACCAGATGGCTTGTGTTTGCCTTGTTGAATAGCCAGGTCAACATTCTTGGTACAAGCATACATCACTATACTTCTGCAAAGAGAATTTGCATCACCTGTTGGAAAAGCTACTGGAATTCTTGAAACAAAGGATACCTAGAGTTACAGTGGGGGTGGGGAAGAGAGGGAGGAAATAATAAATACATATTAGTAGGTAGATATTAACATACTTCTAACTGAACAAAAGCATATATCTTAATCCAGAAAAAACATAGTACCTGCACCTGGCGAAACATACCAGGCTGGTATTCATCTAGCCAGTCCACATGCCATACCAGCAATGAACCATCCATAGGATGAATACTAAAGAGCATGTCAGCATTTTTACTCCATTCAGTCAGTAGTATTTCAATCTCATGATCAATAGCAGCAGAAGATAAAGGAACAAAACTTGAATTCAGAACAGCTCTTTCATCACTCAGTTCCTTCTTTTCTTGGTTTGCTTTTTGATCTTCCACATTTTCATCAGCTTCTAGTAGAGGGAAACGCATGAACTGTAAAGAAATCTGTGTGTTCAAGCTATAATTGAAAGTCAGAAATCATACACATAATAAATTGGCAGGGCACACAAGGCCCGATCTCTAAACTACTCATAAAAACAAACAAACAAAACAAACAAGATTTAAACAAGTTAAAAAGTCAAGGATTTAATCACTAAATCAAATATTTACCTCACTCAAGAAGGGTACCTTAAGTATCACCAATTGATAATTATACAAAATACAAGTTTAAAAGTATACCAGAATGTATGCTTTCTTTGTTTTTTTTAAAACAGTCATAATAAACATTCATAAGAAATACAATAAACAAACAAACAAACAAACAAACAAACAAATAAATATCAAACTTGGGAGCTTGGAAGAACTCGAGAATAAAATGCATCAAATTCCTATTCTCTGTCTTTAAATTAATCAAGTTTTAAAACACTAGAACAGCCAAGTAACAGTTTAAATTAAACAGGTAAACGCTTGAGACCGAAATTTTAACTTTGTGAACACTACAAGTTATGAGCAATACATGTGTCTGGTTAAGTTTTTAAATATTTATATGCAAACAATATGTGTTTAGCTGTAAATACTCTCTAGCAGTGGCTGAAGGAGGTGCAGGGGGACATGGGACAAAAAAACCCAAACCCCCCAAGCCCCCAAATTTTGTTAACGTTTCACTAATGCAAAACTCATTTCCATTACTCAAGTGACTTACAGAATCATGCCAGAAGTAATTTTAAAAACATACTGTTTTAAAATCTTACATGCTGAACTACAAGACAAAGGAGACCACTTTATCTTCTGCCTGCAAAGCTGCAGGAAAAGAAGAATATAGGCAATCTTAACATAAGCATGATCTCAACTAGGTAGTGCCATCACAGCACACGAGGGGCTATAATGGACACTACTTCCAAGAAAATGGAAATTTTGCAGTACCAGAGGGTATATCCTGGAAAAAAAAAGCATGTGGACCTCTGCTTGAAAGTGTTCATTAAAAAAACCAAAACAAAAAAACACTATTACACCAGCCATTTGTAACTTAATGAAAAAACAAGCTTTCGAGAAGTTACCTGAACTCTCTACATAACTTCAGAAGTCACAGAACAGAAATCTGAGCTCTTTACACATTTTCCTTTATTCCACTGTTCCATTCCCAGCCAACAGGTGCTTATAGCACCACACTAATACACTTACAATTAGAAGACCACAGACATACTGCCAGTATCAGGTAACACATTGAATGCTTTATCTCCTAAATGTGTACATTAACTTCTATAGATCTATTTTGATAAAGTAACAATTTCCCTGCAATAATCCACTAGACTGAGAAACTTGATCAAGGAAATTAAAATGTTCTTTCCCAGAAGCCTTTCAGTCCATGATATGCTTGAAAATTCCATCAACTTAATCAAGTAAGTTAAAACTTAAACAAATATTATTTGCTTGTACCAAAGAGAGCTCTGAAACTGTGAATTACACACACTTCCCATACATTATAAAAATGTATTTAGGCATTCAGATGGATTCTGAAAATTCTTGTATGCATTTACCTGCAACTTCAGGTGCCTAAATACATTTTTTTTTTTTTAAGTGGCCCATAGACCGGCGTTTCTCAACCCATGGGTCACAAGAATATATGAAAGGGTCATGGACACTTTAAAAATGGATTCTCTTTTAAAGGAGAAAAATATTGGAAACCATGGCTTTTCCCTTGCAGGCTGGCAGAGTTCCAGCCTGCAATGGGCTGCTTGGGCCCCCCGCCCCATGCCCTACACACACCCCACCCTGCTCCACATGCTGGGGGCTGGGGCCTGGGGACAGAGGACAAAGGATCAGGAGTGAGGGACACTAGGTCAGGATAGGACACTGACGCTTACAAATGGGTCCTTGTACAAAAAAGGTTGAGAACCACTGCCTTTGACTATACAGTGCATCTCATTATCTTCAATATGCATCTTACCTTCATCTGATTTGCCATCTATCTGATTAGACTCTTCAGTGCTGGTCTCTGAAGAATGTTGTTCAAAATTCTTTTTAATCTGTTGTAAAAATACTTCCATGGACAAGGAAAAATGCAGCTCTTTATTGTTGAGCCAATGAACAACAAAAGGCCCGCTTTTCTCTTCATTTTCACTGAGACTCAAAGACGTGATTGAAGGGAGTAAAGGAATGTCTAAGATTAAAAATAAAATTAAAAAAAAAATATATATATATATATATATATTATTTCCAAAACAGAAAATGGCCCAATAAAGTTTTCCTTGATCCAGTATAAAAGGGTACATTACACCACTATGCAACAACTTATTACTACACTTATGGCAATTTTATCACTGGCAGACAGAACAAAACTCCCCTATTGGGGTTTTGCCAAGTATCTCAAAAATCTCTTGTGGAATAGAGGTTGTGATTCTGTGTTCTATAACAACCCACTCTGAGAAACTTGGGGTTTATATAACACTACAGACTATGGCACAGTATAAAAAAAAATTTAGATGTACTGAGTTCCACACAAGATAAAATTTGTGTGTGGGGAGTTCTGTACTGCCACAGCTATGAAGACTTCTGGTGCCCAAACTAGGTCGAATAACTTGACATTGTACTGCTGATTGCCAGTGATGATTTCTTAGCAGCGGTAAGATGACTGATACTGTGGCACCCCAGTTGAGAATCAGTGCTCTATAGGAAATGAAAGCCAGTCTTCCTTCCTGTCTTCCAACTAAAGTTTACCAACTCATAAATTAGCAGTCTTCCATTCCAAGAAGATGCCTTAACTTTTGCAGTAATTATTGCATGCTTTGGAATCAGAATTATCCGTTTTAAATATATTTAAGAGCTATGGGAAGGAGGGCTAGATAAATAGCTGAGTGTCATTATTAACAGACCTTATGAGGTTAAACTTGACCAGTTTCATGATAGAAATGTTTACAATTCTTTACTTTGCACACAAAACAGCTATGAAAAACAACATTCAAGTACAAAAATCAAGGACTTAAAGTGAAGCAGCTTTATTTTGCTGTTCCTGTGCTCATACACATACACATGATTATACAGTCTATAGTTATATTAATCCATGTTATTTTTCTATTGAAACCCAGCTCTTACGTAGTGTAGAGGTGGAATGGTGTTCACTTGGCATTGATAGCAAAAGACAGGGCAAGGTGGCACGTTAGAGACTAACCTGGCATTGATGAAAATCAATGCTCATGACGTTACTAAAAAGGACTATCGTCATGAACCCCGCTCTGGTCTATGGTTTTGTGGGGGGTCACACATGATTTCTTGAGGTTGTTTTACCAATATGGCATGCATAGTCTCTACAGTTGGGTAGCAGCAAGCTGTGTTTAATTTTACCATTCTTACATCTGCGTGAATTCTTGTATTTGATATAAAATGTATTTATTTTATGTTATAATAGGACCAAGATTGCAAAATGATCATGAGTCTCTTTGGCACCTAGGAAAGGCTGAAAAGCAGTAATTGCTTAGAATTAGCATCTAAAGAAGTGTCTATTCAAGAAAAGGTCCTCCCAGGCAAAGACAAATTTACATTTTAGAAGGATAAACCCTGAAGTGCAACACCTAGCAGCAGAGAGTATACATCCCACTGTGGAGGAAATTGAGTGAGAGGTGGCATCTGGGGATGCTGGATTAGCATCCTTCAAGTCTGAAAAAATGCACATATTCTCCTGGTCTTAATTAGATCAGAAAAAAACGTTTAGTCTGCTAAATATGCACCTTGGGAGGGCAGGAACTAATATGCATAGTGTGGGAAACTTCAACAGAGCAGAGGATCAGGTTATCACAGAAGAAGAATCAGATGGCCTTCAGAACAATGGCAAAAGAAATTGAATTGAATGTAATGGTACTATGCACTAGATTATCAATTTAGGGATAAGCATTTCTATTATAAAGATAGGATCATAATCAGTCAGGAGGACACAAAAGACACCCGAGTGTATTAACTGGTCACAAAATGGCTGTGTCATATTTGATGCCTCATTACTGAAAAAGACAAAATGTGATCCTAGAATGCATTAGTCAGAGTATTTCCAGTAGAGACAGTGAAACGTTAAAGGCAATACAAGGTGCTGGTGAGACTTCATCTGTTCTAGAAAGGTGAAAAAAAATGGAAGTAGTAAAGGGTAACTATGGTAATTCTATCTTAAAAGAGGAGAGTAATTGTCAGTTGGCTTGTTTTGTATAGGAAAACAAAAACTGAAAGGGAATATTGATTTCTGTCTATAAATAAATGAAAGGGTGAAAATGCCTGGGAGGGATAAAAACTATTTAAGACCTGAGGCATGTCAGGCACAAGATCCAGTAGATATAAATTGGTTATGAATAAATTTAGGCTGAAAAATTAGAAAAAATATCCTGTAGACAAAGATAATATAACCATCATATAGGGACAGGGGATCCAAACCTTCTTGTAAGATAGAGCTGATCAGTTTATGAAAAGGGATATATGATGATGTAATTGCCTGCGATATCAGGCAACTGAACTCCCAGTTATTTCTCCTGAATACAGAAAGGGATCTATGCTTCTAATTAAAAAAAAAATTCTGTTTTAACTTCAGTATTCAGTGCTATTTTTCATGCCTTATTTTTAGCATATTAAGCACTTATGAAGACAGAATTACTGTTTCTTCTGTCATTTCTATAGTGCTAACCACTATAATATTAGAGTGTTTAAAATATTAACTCAGCTGTACATAACTCGAAAATGCAGGAACTTTGTCTTTTAAAGATGGGAAAGTGTTCAATTTGGGGTACACAATTTGAGAAACACCAAGACCCATTTTTTTTAACGCTTATCATTATATATCACTTTATACATTCCCAGCACAGTCTCCAATTACATTGGTTGCAATTGCAAGTGCTCAACATTTGTATTAGAGTAAATTCAGGCACACAAAAAATAAGGGATATGCAACAGAGTTACCTTCAAGATACAACCATCCAACGCAACAAAAGCAACAAGCATCTTGTGTGAAAAATTTTACTGTGGTCATATCAACAGACTCATGATACATATACACATAGTAAAACATACAGGTCTGTTGCAAATTCATGTTTGTTCTTTGTTACCTGTAGCTGGGTTGATACTGGCAGCAATATGGAAGTGGCAGAGTGCATTTGCATGCAAAGGAGTGTTTCGATGAACTTCATGAGGATCTTGCTGATGTGGTGAGTATCCAGTATGGGCTGTGACTGCACCTGACCTTCTCCTCCCTCGCCGGAAGTGTTTCAGATTTACCTGGGGAGGAAAAAATAAAAAAAGTTTTGTTGTTTTTTTTTAAATCTATAGAGTTTTTCCTTAAGAGAAAAATTATGTGGTATTCTAAATTAAAATAGCTCTTAAAAGGGAAAACATGGTTAATTTACACAATATACTATTCTGAACAAGTCTTCTATTAAGAAAAGAACAGAAGGTAGAAAGATGACTTTAGGATCTTCTACAAAGGCCCTTACGCATAAGTCATACCATTGATGGGAGAACAGCTCTGATTTTTTTTTTTTATTTCAAAGTATTGGGCAATATATCTATAGCCTTCATACTCTACGAAATCAAACAGCACAGTTTTGTACCATACCACACTTTTAAAATGGAAAATATAAACAAGGTATTCAAATAGTTGAATAATGGAAACAAACTAGAATTAGATCCTCCCTCATGAGAGGGGTATAAGCTTCAGAATCAGAACTTTCTATTCCTGTAATGCTGGAGGCTGCAAGTAGGAGAGGAACAGAGGAAAAACCTTAGTCATACCCTGTTCACTCTCCCTTTCAGCATCCACTCTCTGCCAGTGTGAGATGTAGGATACCACGTAAGGTTTAACCCAGCAAATGGCAGTTGCTATGTTCTCTAACCAAGACTCCATTGGTAGGATCAATATTTTTATTCTTACACTACAGGCACAATTAATTTTTTAAAAACCTAGTAATTTTAAAAAGTATTTTCAAGGAAAACCGTCACAGTTTAAAGATGGGATATGGCTACCTACAATACTACTGAAATTAAATTTAAAAAATTGTTACAATTTAAGTCCATTCAGCCTTGATACGCTATATAGGCATTGAAATAGTACAAATATCAGTTTGGTGCAGGATATAGCTAAGTAGTGGGAGCAACAGCAGCATATCCTGGTAGGCATATATCCCCATGCAGAGCCTGCCCACATCAATATTACCCTTACTTTATTAATCCCACAACCTCTGAGGCATCTATACAGCTTGTATTACAGGAACCCAGTGCTAGATTCCTTAGCATCTATACCAGAGGTCAGCAAAATACGGCCAGCGACAACTTGTCAAAACTCTCTCTGTGGCCCATGGGCCAAAATAATTACCCACCCCTGATGCACACACAAGCATGTGGCTTCCCCTCCACATATATCTTGCTCCCAGAAGTTAGAGTACCTTACCTCGGAACATCAGCACTAGTTGAGAGAAGGGAAAAATATATTCAAATGCTATCTTGCTGCCATGACGCACATGGGAAGGTACCACTTCATTTTTTTACCTCTACCCTGCAAGACCTATGGATTCACTTATCTTCTTAAAGGAGAGAGGGTTATGACAGCAGAAAAAAAAAGCAGCAAGTGGGAGGACATTTCACTTGACACCTCCATGTGTCTTAAAAATCAGTTTGGAAGGGCTCTTATACAAAGAATTGCAGACCCGGGGTGATGTTTTAGTGAGACGCTGAGGCTTGCTTATTCTGTAGTACAGGGGTTTTCAGCATATCCATTCTGGTGGTGGCAGCTCGGGCAGAGGGGGAGGGGCTTGCACACAGCGGCAGCTGGCCCCACCCACTGCCCCATGCTGCCGCCGCGCCCCGCTTTCCCATGACCAGTTGCATGTGTGGCTCCGTGGGCTGCTGCCAGGCCTCGCACCTGACCAATTGTGCGCTGTCAGTCAGCAGCCTGTGGAGCCAGTGGCCGGGCAGCGCCTGTGCGGCCCGCAGAGGGGCGCCGCTGCCCTCCCTCCCTGGCCTTGCTCCTGGAAGGTGGCCATGTGGGGTGGGGAGTGGCGGTGGCACAGGATGGTGGGTGGCAGTGGTGGCCGCCACATGCAACCCCCCTGCCCCACATCCATCCACAGAGGGGGGCCGCTACCCTTGCCCATGCACCCTGCTCCATCCCTGCCTGCCTGCGCATACCCCCTATCACCTAAGTACCCCTAGAGGTACACGTACCCCCAGCTGACAACCCTTGCTGTAGTACTTTCTGTGGTTCTTACCTCTAAGGCATTTTGCATTCGTTCCTTACTAGAAGCATTTCTTTTGAAGTTATTGGTCAAGTTCACTGGTTCAGTCCAATGGTTGTATTCACCACCATACAATAGACTATCATTTGGTAACAAAGTCTCTGCCCACAGACGGCACACATTATCTTTGCAGCAAGTCAGGAGTACATTACACACAGCACCACTGAAAAAGAGTTTAAGGAGGTTGTGAAAGTCAGGTACACATACTGAGCATCAGAATATTCAAAGAAAAAAATTCCAAAATTAGACCAGTACTATTTAGATATTAAGTAAAACAAAAAAGAAAAAGAGAACGTTCTTCTTTCATTATCCAGACAAATACTCTCAGAAAAATATTTTATTAAGATTCAACAACATATAGATACACTAGATATGCTCAACTTTAAGATCTAAAACTATTTTAAAAAGAAATGCGTATCTTATAAGTCTCAAACTTGGTTTCGAACACAGAAATCTAATCATGCAGCTAGGAGTAATGAAATAGTGTAATAGTTTTTGTTTCTTGACTCTTGTATTCAAAGCTTTTTCATTGATACTAACTAATAGTAAGTATGCCACTAAGACAGGTACCTTCATTTTGCAGGTATGGAAACTGTGATGTGGACAGGTGAAGTTTTATGCCCAAAGTCATATACAGCATAATAGTAAAGCTGTAACTACAATTCAAAAATGTTGTTCCTATGCTATTTCTATTCCTCCAAGTATTATTTGTATTATAACAGTATCAAGCTATCCCAGAAGATCCATTATATAGTGTTAGACTAAGTAAAAACTTGTGTAGATCAAATTCACTATTCAGAGAAGCTTATGATTTCTCTTAAAATAGGAGTGTCAGAGTCTGGACCCTGGCTAGAGGAGTGGTGAGAGGTAGGTCCATAGGCCAGATACATGGTGTGGGTTGCCCCCCCATGGGTTGCACTAAGCCCATTGATCCCACCATACTCTTCCCTCTCACCCAGCATGCCAGATCCAGCACAGCATGCCAGATCCCACTCCACCTAGATCAGCTGAGGCAGGTACTGCATACAGTGTGGGTCCTAGACCAGTTAGTGTGGGCACCATGTGCAGTGCAGTAGCAGACCAGACAGGTTGTGGGCTGCATGTAGTGTAGGTCCCAGGCCAGAGAAGACACCACCCACAGTGCAGCATGGGTCCCAGACTGGCTGGGAAAGTGCCAGTCCTCGACAGGCCAAGGTGGGCACTATACACGAGTCAACTCTGAGACCCAGGGGCCAGATGATGGGGCTCCGTGGGCCAAATCCAGACCACAGGCCAAATCTTTGACACCCATGTTTTAAAAACAGTGCGCTATAAGGAAATGTAACAAAAGCTAAGAAATTTGAACAACGTTGAAAGACGACACAGGAACATATAGTTATATAGCTAGTTTTGTAACTTCGGATCCAAGTCAAGTTGTAAATATCTTATTATTGAGAAATAGTTTACATAGTATATATAAATCAAAATGCCATTGACTACCACCCATTGTTATCATTAATAGACAACAAATTGATAAAAGCATCACAGTACAAAGCAGTTCTAACTGAATTTGAGGACAATGAGAAGTAGTGGCTTTAAATAGGGCATTCTATATGTCAGAGATGGCCACACTTAACCCTTCTAGCTACAAATCAAGATCTTGACACAGTTAAGCACCACAAAACATTCAAGAAGTGTATACCCCAAGTCAATGATCTGCACAAACACCCCCAATCAATTTGGTGTTAAAAGACCTCCAGGCACTGCATGCAGCTTGCAAGCGACGGCCTGAACACACTTACTATACATAAAGGACAGCAGGAAATAGAGTACAAGGTTGTTTATGGAATATGGAATTCAAGTAGGCTTTAGTAGATGTAACAGAAAGAAGTAATTGGCATCATAGTGACTAAAGCTGTGTACAGATATTAATTTCTATTGGAGAAAATTGCTCAGAAATTTCCCTTGGCAGAAATCCTTCCAGGAGAGGGAACAGCACACATGATCAGTCTGCAGTTGTTCCCTTTCCCCTGTTTTCCCCATCTCCCCCAAACTGGGGTGATCCTGGTCTGGGGAAGGCAAACAGAGCAGTGCCTGCTGCATTCCTCCTGGTCAGCGGAGGGAGTAGAGCAGCAAGGAGACACTCTTCACACCTACCCCAGTCCAGACTCTAGGGAACTGTGTTGGGGTAACAGCCTCCTCCACTACACTCCTGGCCTCCAGGAGCAGAGTGGAGGGAGCACTGGGGCAAAGCCCCAAGCCAAGCACTTCCCTGGCTTGGGGAAGAAGCAAGGAGCAGCAATAGCTGGTCTTCTCCTCTCCACTCCCAGACTGGTCTGGGAGGGGAAGGAAGCAGCAAGGCACAGCCCCCTAAATCCTCTCTCAAGCCAAGCACTTCCCTGGTTTGGGGAAGGAGCTGGGGGCCTCATCTCTCCCTTTCCCTTCCAAACCAGTCTAGGAGGAGAGAGGAGCAAAGTCCCCCTGCCTGGAATAGCTGCTTCTCTGCTCCCCATCACAGAACTGCTTCCTCTACTCTGCTCCAAGTACAGGGACCCGAGCAGATGGAGCAGTGAGGAAAACCCACCCCGCCCACTCCACACAGACCTCTGGGATTCTGGTGTGGGAAGCAAGTGAGGGCTTTGCCCTGCTCCCCCAGAGAGGGCCTCTCTGACCCCAGGTCCTCACCAGCCGGATTCCCCTTGCTTCCCCCATGCGGTGACTTAAAAAAGTCTAGCTTCTGGCTGCACTGGCTTGGGGGGTTTCCCCCAACCCAGTTCCCCCCACCTGGTTTCCCCTTGCTCCTCCACCCCCCTGCTGCTTAGCTGAACAGCAGAGTAGGGAGCAAAGGAAAGCCAAAGGGGATAGCACCACTCCTTGGGCACTGGGAGCCAAACAAAGGAACTGAGCAGAGCAGCAAACCCCCTGCTTGCTTCTCCACCAAGAACCTTGCCACAAGAGTGCAGCAAAACTTTGCACGCTGGCAACTCCATGGTGAGAAGCAGGGGGAAGCAGCTAGCATTACTCCTCCCCTCCTCTCCCCTTCTGGTCTACAGAAAAGGGGTGGTGGGTGGGGGGGAATAGCTCCTCTCCAGTCCCCACCACCAGGCTTCTTAAAACCAGAGTGATACCAAGAAGCCACAGGAGTCTATTCCCTAGCTTCACTCCTGGTCCCCAAAAGTTAAGCCAGGAGAAAGCATTCAGTGTCTCTTGGGATAAACTCTCATGGGAGTGACTTAACCCTGCTTATCTCAGGGTTATTTTTCTCCCAAAGCAGCCGTTTTTTCTCCAGGAAAAAAAAGGCTAAATGTCTGTCTACTTCTGGTTTCTACTAGGAGAAGAGTGATTCTCCCCATAAAAACTGAACATCTGTACATAGCCTAAGTAAAGACAACAGAGAAGGGCAAAACCTGTAAAACTGCTTGAGCTGCACTGCTGAGAACTGACTGAAGCAGAAAGGATTCAGAGGAGTCCAAGTAGTAGACAAGGACAGAGGAAGAAAACACATTCAGTATGAATGATTATTTTATTTAGGCCATGATATAATTCCAGTCATCATGATATATTAAGTCTTTAAAAAACAAAAATCTATTTTTTTCCTGGAAACTGAAGAGGATGAATAATCAGTAAATCTTTCACATGAGTGTTATACAAGAGCGTTTGCATATTTAAGCAAGAGGGCACGTACAAAGTGGAGTTTTGATTCAATCAGATTCTGGAAGACTATCAAAGGAGGAAGTGCTGTAAACAAACGTATGGATGGTGAACACAATATAGGGTTATGCTAATGAAACTGCAGAAATCATAACATTTTGCAGGTCTGTTACAACGTATGTAGGGATAATTTCTTGCAAGAACCAGGCTAAAAAGATGGGTTTCATGTTCAAAGATAATAAATGAATACATTAATTTTGCCCCTCCCCCCAGCACATTTCCTCTCTTGCATTTATACTTGCATCTTAAAAATCACAAGCCAGCCTTCTCCCAGCAGAGATATAATTTTTTTTTAACTCTTTTTAATCATGGAATGTGCATGATTATGACACTGGCAGTGCCATGTAAGAACACAGACAGAAGGTAAATGTGAAGCATGAAGGACAGCTTAGGGTAAATTCAGGTAGAAAGAATAGCCACAGAAGAATAGTACTGCTGAAGTAGGAGGGGAATTAAAGTAGATTTAGACCGTCTTCACAGGAGACTTGGGAATGCCATTTTTTAGGTAAAGACTGTACAAACCTTGCAATGTTTTACAAATTTTCACTCCATTTTCAACAATTTACAGGTATCAGGAGTCAATTTACTGACCGTGGCATGTACTTGCTTGTCTTCCGCCATGAAAATCCATTTACAGATCGAGGATGGGACAAATAAACAAATGAAAAATCAATTTCTGAAGCTTGTTTTTCTGGAGTAGCACCTGGAGGTGTTACTGCTGATCGCCAACTATCTGTATTATACCACACTTTCACAAGACAATCATTCTAAGGGAAAAAGAAAACACAAACTTATTAATACTTGTTCAATTTTCCACAAATGGAAGTTCCAATTTAAAAATCTTAAACTATTTCCCATAGGACCTAGCTGACACCACTAATGCATTTGAAAGCCTTATAACACAGGACACAGTTCTAGCACAGGGCTTATATAAAATATTATTTTCCTGGTGCCAGTGAATTCAACTCTCTTGATAAAGCTTCAAATCTTCCTAGATTATACATTTTTTTCTAAAATGGTTTAAGATTTCTTGTTAATCAGTCTTGTTTTCCCCACATTCCCATCTCATTCCGATTCTCTGTGAACAGCCTAAAAACATGGGATTTCCTAGAAGAGGTGCTAGAGATAGCCGATACATTAATATCCTAAAGACCCACATTTGAAGAAAACAGGGTTTATGGTTAATTCTGCTAAGATACATAAACTAAATCCTGCTTTGTAAATAGAAGGATCATAAGGCAGATGACCATGAGGAACATTTATGGATAGATGCACAGAGGTATCAGCAATATCTGTTTCATTATCCCAGCCTGTTTCCAAAGATGCTCATAGGGCAGGGCAATACACATTAGCCTAGTTGCAGGCCTGTCTCAAGAGCTACATCACAGCTTAGTCAGACGACCCTCTCCCCACCTGTACGTGGCCATCTTACTGGACCTATTCATCATGGGAACATCCCAAAGGAAAAATCTGCTCAAGCAGAAACTAACAGGTGATTTCATTATGACCATATCGAGACATTGGCACCAACGTGACATTACTTCTCCCTACAGGATTACTGGTTTTCAAAGTAATTTAGGATGTGCTGAAACAAAAGATAGGATATATTCATAAAAAAACAAAAACTCAAAGACTATGTTATGACCAATAAAAGAAAAAAAAAATCTTCCCTGCCATAATGATCAGTCTTGAAGAACTATTAGAAATCTAGAGCCAAGAATGCCTCCATTCATATGCTGAAATGCATCAGCCTACTTCACAAAAACAACAAACCCTGAAAGGGCAATAATTTTGAATGCCAGGAATATAAAACAAAAGGCAACGAATAAAAAGTTTCTCAGAAGTAAGCCCAAAATAGACTGTTAAGCAGCGTGTTGAAACACCCACATTATGGACTGATCTAAACAAACTAAGCCAACTTTCACATACCATCTCTACGTTATCATGAAAAAATTATTAAGGATTCAAATGCTACTGAAACATATACATTATGTCTAGTATTGTACAACATTGGACATGTCTAGTATTATACAACATTTTTGTTGACTAGCACATTCTTTGCTGCTTTATCATTTAATCTGGCACCTTCACCAGAGATAAAGGGAAAAAAAAAATTGTTTGCCTAATTGACCTAGTAACATATGGCCAAATCCCCCATACTTAAACTTTGTTCATGTTGCTTTAATTGCAATTCTTCCTCTTCGTTTCTTGAATTTTGAATATCTCATTGTACACTGATCTCTCACAGTCATCATGCATCTATAAAAAGTCTGCTTTCAAGTCAGCTAAAGATTTACCAAAAGATTGTCAGATTTTATCTCTCTCTTTAAACAAAAATAGTGCTAGTCACCTGAATGAATTCCTTGCTAAAACAATGGCTGTAAGCTCTGTAGGCCGAGACCTGGATTTGTAGTACTGTTCTCCACTCCTCCTACCACACCACCCTGAGTTCCTTCCCCTGATTCTCTGCTCACTCCACTAGATCATACCTCCCCTGCTTCTGAAGGTTATAATCTCTTGTAAGACCTTAGTGAGAAGGTTTAGCAGGAAGAAGTGTTGTGGCTGGCACAGTTGGGAACAGGAAGGATAGGCTACAACCACCTTACCATCCCATGTCATACTCCAAAAATGCTTCACATACAAATCAGTTCTGCAAACTCAATAATGAAAATGGCTCAGCTATAAAAGAACTGATCTAAGTTGCCACACAACTACATAAGCATCTACCCAAAAGGACTGACAATCTAGGCAAGCTTTCATGTTAGTTTAAAGTAATACTGAATAGTGGATACCTGCTTAGCACACTCCTACAAAGTTTTAGCCAATCTGAACTTAAATATCTTTCTTGCACTGAAATAAAGAGAAAATTAATTGCCTAAAATGTGGTTCTGTTGTTACCCTGACAGATAGCAGTTTCTCTTCAAAGATACGTGGTCTTCTTTAGATATAGCACTTCATAGCTTTAAAATTCTTTCATTTTCATAATAAGGAAGCACTCATATGGGCCTACTGCTGTGGTACAAACTCTTCACTTCATAATGCACTATTTTTGGTGCTCAACCATAATCTGTTGGCAATGGATATTTTAGGCTAGTATTCTGCTGAAAAATCTTTCCAAGTCCTCAAAACAGTCACTTAACAGGATAGGAGGTTTTTGACATTTTGCATTAGGAAAAGGCAGGACATTTTTTAAAGTCAAACTCTGCAAACTCTTTCAACCCCCCCCCCCCAAGCTTGTTACCTTTCCTGCAGTAGCAAAGAATTCTCCGTCTGGTGAAAATTTCATTAAACAAACTTGGGAAGCGGTTCTATAAAAAATAAATTTAAACATATTAAAGGTCACACAACTGCTTAACAATCAAAAATAAAGTTTAAAATTTAAAATATTTTTTCCTAAACATTAACTACATATATAGTTATTTTTCTTTTTAGTTGCAAGAAAACTTTCTACATTTTTAGACTTAGAAACCAATTGCAGTGTATGAAACATGTGACTCAAGCAATAACAAAAATAAGGGAAGGCAAACTCTCGTTAGCAAGGATGTAAAAAATGGGCTGAAAGAGACAGCAGATACCTGCAAAAAACAAGATGATGCAACTGTCAAATGCTTCACACAGAAATATTCTTTCCTGATCTCAGAGACATTTCAAGTTCAACTCGCATCGTCCTCCAACTCATCTGATACAGAGTAAGAGGCAATTTCCTATACTTCCTGCCTTTTATTCCTAAACAACAAGTTCCCTTTAGAAATGCATGAAAGGAACAGATGGGGCTACTTAAAGTTCTAAATACTATATTTGCCCACATACAACATGCACCTTGTCACAAAGACAGCCGCTGGAAACTGCAGTGTGTATTAGATGAGAAAATAAAGTAAGAAGAGTTTCTGCCAGTTATAGGCAAAGGTGAATGCAAAATCTGCATGCAAATTACAGGGAGCAAAGCAATCAATAGGCCTAGGGAGATAATAAGAACTTGAAAAACTTCTACTTCTGTTCAGACAGAAGAGTTTGAAAGATTATAAACCTTTGGACCCCTTTTTAATCCATTTTTTATAAATAATTTACTCAAGGACTTAAAAGCCTTAGTTTGAAAAAGCTGCTGACAAAAAACAGCAACTAGATGCGAATCAGTAAAGGAACACAACTGTTGACATGGAGTATGAAAGAATGAATCTTAGTGATCCTTGGAAACCTGTCATGCCCCTTAGATGGTTTCACCAGTTATTGATTGTTATAAATCAATACAATTGTGCCCGTCTATAACCCCTAAGGCAGTGGATCTTGAACTGTGGGTCACGACCCCAAATGGGGTCACACCATCAGCAGCTGGAGTTGCAGGGATGTGGGGCTGTGGGTTGAGAGTGAGGGGCCATGCTGAAGAAATGGGGTCATGCTGAAGAAAAGTTCGGGAAGCACTACTCTAACGGCACCATGGTAGGCAGTTATACAGCTATAGTGATATATGTGTAGCAAAACTGCTCCAACTTTAACCCTATTTTATTCAGGTCAAAGTTTGGAAGATGTAGATAACTTATATCACTATGTAACTACACAGAAACTTAGTTTGTAACAGCTGGTGAACACCAGAGCAGTAGCATTCCTTCCTGCTTTAACGCAGATAAAAAAAAAAAAAAAAAAAAAGTGTGTTTGTCCATACCATGGGAGGGAAATCAAATAGCTATCTTGGCTACTTAGGGTGGGCAAAGAACTGTCTTTGAAAAACAAGGAACAGATCAGACAAAGGTTGCAGTTCACTTGCTCTTCTAGACAAAGTAGCCATAAAAAATGGCATTTTTTAAACCAAGTAAAGTAGCAAACATGCGTTTAGAGCAGGGGTTCCCAAACTATGGTACGTTTATCCCGGGGGTACACAAGACATCTCTGGGGGGACTGCAGGTGGATTTAATTTTCATTATGATAATAATTGGCATTTAAGGAGTTAAAATATAAAACATATGCTGGTAGGGGTATGAGAGCAGCTGGTAAATCTGGAAGGAGGAAGGCAATAAGAAAAGGTTTGAGAAAATCCAGTTTAGAGGCTCAGACAAAGGTTTCATAAATGGGGTAGGGATTAGGGGTAAGGAACAACAATAGATGGTGTTTTGACTGGTAAATATTCACTTGACACTTCATATATATACATGTAGGTCTTAAAACAATGTGAAGTTAAAAGAAGAGGATGCTTGGGGACTTGCTGCCTCATTAGGGGAGATAAAAAAAATGTAGACAATTTGCTGTATTCATGGCTACAATGCTTTTCAACACTTTCATCCTCCTGTCTTTCCAAATCCGAGGTTGTACAAGCTGACCTGGGTAGGCCAGTCTATATTGCCAGGTATTAAATTAGAGGAACTGAAAGTAGTAAGCCAACTTCTAAGACCTCTCTCTTTTGGCATAAAGATATACTATGATGAACAACTGTGGTATGCTGCTAACAATGAATTTGCTTAGAAAAGAAACGGAGTATCAAATGCTGTCCCCTTCTCCCAAAGGAGAGAGAGTCAACAATGACAGAGTATTAAATGTAGGACTTTCCAAGGTTTTTTAATGCCAATACCCTAAAAGGTTAACTTAATAAAATTAAATTACACTAATGCTAAAGTTTGCTGTTCAGCGAAACAAGCAGACAATGCAGACGTTCTCTCCCTGTCACATTTGCTAAGAAGAAACTGAGAACAGTAGGGCCTTTTAAATCCTTGTATGGGAGACTGTAAAGACATTTGGGGCCATGACTCACCCGTCAACAGATAATGATAACTAAAAGAACCCAATCTGCTGCACACGTGCCATTGGCGACTCAGCACATGTACCCCTGAGATTGGCTGTGCCCCCTGGAAGTGCCAGCCGTGAAACTGAAAGTGCCAGTGGAAGTGGACTTCCGATTTCGCCGCTGGTGGTTCTGGGCTTGGTGATTGGCTGCGGGGGGATTCTGCGCCCTCCCCCCACCCCCCAATCAGCAATCTGGTGCCCCCCTACCCCCCAGACTTGGGGGGCACCAGTCACCCATGACGCCTGCAAAAGGAAGGGAATCCATATGGACAATTATATAACAATTTTATTTATAAAGTGGCCAGGATGGGGAGACAAAGTGGACTTAATCTCTTCCTTTAATTACAAGAAGTCAGTTTCAAAATAAGAATATGCCAGCTAATAGAATCATAGAAAATTAGGGCTAGAAGGGACCTCAGGAGGTCATCTAGTCCAACCCCCTGCTCAAAGCAGGACCAGCCCCAACTAGATCATCCCAGCCAAAGCTTTAACTAGCTGGGTCTTAAATTCTAAAGATGGAGATTCAACCACCTCTCTGGGTAACCTGTTCCAGTGTTTTACTACCCTCCTAGTGAGAAAATTCTTCCTAATATCTAACCTAAACTTCCCTTGCTGCAACTTGAGACCATTGCTCCTTGTTCTGTCATCTGCCACTACTGTGAACAGTCTAACTCCATCCTCTTCCAAACCCTGCTTCAGGTAGTTGAAGGTTGCTATTAAATTGCCCCTCAGCCTCCTCTTCTCTTGACTAAATAAGCCCAGTTCATAGATTCATAGATGTTAGGGTCGGAAGGGACCTCAATAGATCATCGAGTCTGACCCCCTGCATAGGCAGGAAAGGGTGCTGGGTCTAGCTAACCCAAGCTAGATGCCTATCTAACCTCCTCTTGAAGACCCCCAGGGTAGGGGAGATCACCACCTCCCTTGGGAGCCCGTTCCAGACCTTGGCCACTCGAACTGTGAAGAAGTTCTTCCTAATGTCCAGTCTAAATCTGCTCTCTGCTAGCTTGTGGCCATTATTTCTTGTAACCCCCGGGGGCACCTTGGTGAATAAAACCTCACCAATTCCCTTCTGTGCCCCCATGATGAACTTATAGGCAGCCACAAGGTCGCCTCTCAACCTTCTCTTGCGGAGGCTGAAAAGGTCCAG